AAACGATCTGTATTTTAATTAAGCAAAAATTTGACAATCCACGAGAAGAAGTGAAGCGTATTATTGTATATGTTTTCAACACGTTCAAACACTTTTCAAATGTTTGCTTAAACAACCGACTCATTTTGGCTGAGGTGCACCGAGCGACACAGCTGTATGATAGTGTACGTGGGTTTTTTGTGTATTTATATATGCATGTGTGTATGTGTGTGCGCGCACAAATTGTGATGCATTGCAGGCCTTAAGTTATGATTCGCGTTGAAAAAGAAATACTTCAGGCAAATGCATATTTTTGCATTAATTTCAGGTTGTTGCAAAAAAGAACGTTTGGTTACTGAGCACACAAACATCAACAACGACATCCCAAAAAACACATAAATTTTATAACTGTTTTTTTACTCTCTCTCTCTCTCGTTACCACTCTATCCATCTCTCTGTCGGTCTTCTTTGCCTTTTGTCTGGCAATTTTTCCATGGTTTGTTTTTTTCTCCTGCTCTCGCAACATACCTGGGCAACAATTAAACCTAGCAAAACGTATGTAAAATTCAATCTGCATGTTTTACGAAGCATGAATAAAAGAATCATTATTCACATGACAAAAGCATGGAAGATAAATGCATCGCGCGTACTCCGACCCAATATATATATATATATATATATATACATATACCTATATGCATGAATGTTTATAAAAAAAATATGCATCCTTCAGCGACAATTTTTTTTCCTTAGTACGAATTGTGTTGTGAATTTTCACACTTTTCGCTCAATTTATCTCTCTTTCTCTCTCTCTCTCTCTCTCTCTCTCTCTCTCTCTCTCTCTCTCTCTCTCTCTTTTGGTTCAAACATTCTTTTTTTTTCAATTTTCATTAAAATTTCTTTAGATGTATGGGTTCTGGCGGCTAAAAAATTTCACTACATATATTGATGCGTGCGTGTGTAGTCCTTAAATTGTGTTTATATGTATTTTTTTCCCATCATCATCGTCGTCGCCGTCGTCATCGTTGTTGTTGTTGTTTAATTCGCTTTAAATAGCACTCACAGCAAACGACCCTAATATGAATTTTACCTGTGTGTTTGTCGGCAGAGTTGAATTCCAGTATCGAAGCGAACATTCGCGCGGTATTTTCCAATTGGTCTTTGTGTTCTTTTCGCTGCATGAGTCTTGTTTTCGCCCCAAATGTTTGAAACATGTTTCGTCTCTTTTTTGTACGATCCCTTTGAGCATTACCCGTATTAAAACGCACACACACACACATTGAAATCGAGCAGTATCGTTGTGTGCGTTGTGTGTCAATATGAGAGGGAATTTCAATTCCATTACATATGTGCCGTGACACACTCACTGATCATGCACTTTTTCTTCTACTTCTTCCTGTACGAAACACAGATCGTTGTAATGGTATTTTTACTACATCGTTCGTTGTATACGCTGTTTGTGTTTACGTTTTTCATTCTGTCTCGCTCATTCTTCGCCACAGCAGAAAAACTGTTTCACCATTTGTTGTCATGAATGTCCTTATCCTATTCAACATCACCACTGGCTGAAGTTAGCTATCTGTCTTGTGGCGCGACCACCGATCAGTGTAGCACTTACATTCAGCTTTGTAACCACGTTTAATTCCATTCAAATCGACAACGTTACAGGAAATTACATTTTGTATTTCTGATTTTTCGAAAAAAATTTCTTTCTCAATAAAACGGTCTTTTTTGTCGATCAGTAATTTAGTGTAGATTTTGAAACAAAAGTGTGAATTGGTTTTGAATTTAGAAAAAAAAACCAACAAATATTTGATTCAAACGAATAAAGGGGAAAAAAGCGGTGCGCATACGACAAGTCACATCATCATCAACAAATTTATTCCAATTGGCGGAATTGCGACGTTCATTCAGAGTAAGTGTAACGCGTCGGTTTTTAAATCAACGCACATTAATACCAAATATTTCGAATTTGTATTTGAATAAATGATTGAAAATTGAAAAAACTAATTTGATGAATGGATTCAAAAGAAAGGCGAAAAATGTAACCCATCGATTCCATATTTGGTTTTCCAACAATACACATTTCATCATCTATTTTGTTTGCATCCTTCGAAGGTTGAATCCGCCCAGGTAGACTATTTTTGAAAGTGGAAAAAAAAGATCATTTCTCATTTCCGAGAAAGGTTGCAATCGATTTTCGTCGATAACCGAAAAAGCCAGAAAAAATCCAACAACAGCACCAGAATGAGAAAAAGAAAAAGAAGAAGAAGTGTCGGAAATTCACTTTAATTTTCAAACTGGTTGCATCTGATCCGTTTGATTTCCATTCAATTTAACGACATAATTACATTTATTTAATTCCACATTAAAATTGAATTAAATCAAATTGATTAATTATGCACACAATCATGCATTTGAGACTTGTTTCAAATAAAAGTGTGTTTTGACTTGTTGGCTGATTTGTTTTTTTCATCGTGCAATCGATGCATTTCCGTTGGCATGCATAATTATGCTTCGTTTTCTTGAGAGAGCAATTGAATGATTTCATGAAATTATTCAATGATATGAAGACTTGAAATGTGTTTACTTTTATGCAAACCGTTTTACGGCCTGTAAATAGTTTCTTCACATTTGCATCGTGTACCCGTTGCTCAACTTGCTCACACTGTACACAAGTTAACCAATTAGGTTTATTGATTTGCAATAAGCAAGCAGATGTGTGTATCCGTCACCTGAGCGATCTGTACACTGAACGGCGATGCACACGTTTCGAGTTGAAGGAGATAGGATAAATGAACAAAAAAAAATGCACGCATGGTGTAATAATATAGAGCCAAATGTGTACTGACGCACTGAAACTAAAAAAATAATGGAATTTTGCATATATTTTTTTTCCAATTGGAACAGACTTATCATCGTATATTTTGAATAAAAAAATAAAACGAAAATAAAATCGGTTATGGTTTGAAAGTGTCTTGGCGAATAAATGGGCTGTGATGGCGAATCCTTGAATAAACATTTTTGCAACTGTTGCAACTAAAGTCATATTCATATAACGTACGATACATAGGTTTGAATTTAAACCATTCCACATCCACACATATTCAACCTAATGGTTTTTTTTTCCTTACCAGAACACAAAAATTTGGAAAAAAAAAGAAAAGTCTTTGTTTTTTCATGTCCTCTCTTGCGAATACGAATCGGAGATAAAAACAAAAAATCTTTTGTTTTATCGTGCCAATCCAAACAAATTCTTTTTTTTTCTTCTGCAATAACACAAAACGAAAGCCATAAAATTTATATTGTTCCCTGCAAAACACACTATCCAACTTTCATTAGTCAAACATTTTGTTAATTGTTCGAACATACCTGAAGCACAACGAAATGTCCTCACCGAAAAACAGTATGTAAATACTAATCTGAGGATTTTATGGTGCTTAAATGGAGTGAATACAAAGAGAAGAAGGCACACACACCAACCGACTGCAATAATACGCAGTGACAATAGCAAAAGGAAAGTTTTCAACACTCATTTTAAGTTACATTTACCTCAGTTTTTGTTGGCATAAAATTGTGCTGCTTTGCATGAAATCTTCTTTAGTTTTTCTATTGAAAATGGATGTGTATGCGCGAGTGTGTATGTGTGTTTTCTTTCTGTCTTTTTGACAATTCAAATAAGGTAATAAAATTGTGTGTCCTTCTTCATTTCAGTCATACAAACGTTTGACGAAAGAATACTTCGGAACAAACAGAAGAAGAAAGCAAAACTATCGAATTGCCGTCTCATTGTGTCAGTTTTGTTGTATTTTTTTTTATTACGCTCCACTTTTGATTGCCATAATTTAAGTTCAACCAATTCGCGTATTCTTCATTTGTACTTTCTTTATCATTTTTATTCTGGCGGCAAAATAGCTTCACAATTCATGCGAGACAGAAGAAGAGTGAGCGAGTGCGAGTTTTCTTACACGACCAACATAACAAAGAACGGTGTTTTAAAACATTGCATAGCGTTAATGCATTGGATTGTGTGTATAAAGTAGAAGCGTGCACACTTCTTCTTTTTCAGTCTTTCTCTCTCTCTCTCTCTCTCAATATCTATCTCACTCACTCACTCACTCTTTCTCTGTGTCTGGTAGTTTTGCTCGTGCTCTGGTGCGTTCGATCTGTCTCTTTTATTCCAATATTTTGCTGCTGCTACCGCTTCTCGTATCGACATTTGCTACATCAATTCCAACCAAATATATATACATAGAACTTAAAACAAGCAGCGTGCAATCAATATTAAATGCTAAATGTTTTAGAGAATAAGACAATAGCGTTTTCTTTCGTTCGTATATTATTCATAAGTCATATTTCATCTCGGAGTGTGCAGCAGCAGCAGCACATTTTATATTTGAATTTTCGACGAACAACGACATCGAGAAAACCAACTTCTGAAATTTGCCCTAATACGAATTTTACTTGTGTTCGTGGCCATACTTGAATTCCAGTGTCGAAACGAATATTCGCCCGATATTTTCCAATTAGTCTCTTTATTGAGTTTTTTTTTCTCTTTCATTCGTTCGTTCTTTCAACTGTCAATCTGCCATGGTTTCGCCCCGAGTTTGTTTCTTGAATATGATCCCTTATAGCATTTTATGAGTCGCTCCGTATGAGTATATGCATGTGTGTGTGTGTGTGTGTGTGTGTGTGTGTGTGTGTGTGTGAGTCTGTAAAAGTAGGCACTTCGTTTTGGATATGAGTTAGTGTGTGTGTGTGTGTGTGTGTGCATGAGAGGGAATTTCGTTTCCTTTTTTATTCTTCTATTTTACGATCATATACACATTTTTTTTCCTTCGTCTTCTTCTTCTTCTTCTTTTTCGTCGTCGTCGTCGTTTCGACCGAACATTACAGATCAATGTGATTGTATTCGTTCTTTGAATACGTGCAATTATGTTGTGGTGTTCTTTTCTCTCCCTCATTCCATGCTCTTCCATAAGAATTATGTCGACTTTCTTATTCTTTTTCTCACCACCAGTGAACTAGCTGCACCAGTGCGCGCCGACTTATATCTCTTTTTGACAACTGCCGATCAGTGTGTCCCATGAATTCAACTAGTGAACACATCGAATACAGTTTCATTTTACAAATTATTCAAATATTTTCGTTTTTCAAATTAGTTTTATTATAGTTTTTTTTTCATGAACATTTCTTAAAATTTTAATTGTATATATCAGCAACTCTTCGATTTGTTGAAATAGGTCCGTGGCGAATTACCGCCCATCAAGTAATTTGATATTTGAATGTTTGAATAAGAAGTGTGCGCTGGTGACAAGTTACATAGCTGAGTGCGTTAATTCCAATTGGTAGAACTCGTAACGAGTGTTTGATGTAAGTGGCGCGCAATTTATATTAAGTTGATATGGACAAAAAAAAATATTAATGGACAAGCAATCATTTTAAATTTATATTAATATTCAAGTCGATAGAGAGAGAGAGAGAGAGAGAGAGAGAGAGAGAGAGAGAGAGAAAGGAAAAAAATATCGTCCATGCACTTGGACCAAATCGCCGTTTTGATCTGTTAATGTTCTGCTGTCTGACATTTCGGCATTTTCTTCTTAAGTAGAATTACTCAGGTAGAGTTTCATGCATGAACCCAAAGGGAAAAAAGATCATTTCAAGTCTTCCAAGAAATGTTACACTCGATTTTTAACAATAAAACAAAGCAAAAAGAAAACAATCCAGAGAAGAAAATCGAACAAACGATTTTTGTCGAAGGAATTGCTTTGCCAATACGATTTTCAAACTGTATACCAAAGCGAGTGTGTCACACATGTGTTAGTGTGTGTGTGTAGCATCTCTTTTTTGGGGAGTTTTCGGTTTTTTTCGTCTTCTTTTTTTTTTTTAAACACAATATAGATAATACACACGCAGCGCATATAAAAAAAAGACAATATACAAAAGAAACGAAACATTGAAGATAAAGCTGTATAAACCGACAATCTATTACCCTTCGAAATGGCTGTGATTGGAGAGGCGAATTTTTTTTGTCTCTCCATTCATTCATTTTAAATACATGCAGGCAATCAAGTTGAATTAGAAAAGTTGTTCGTTTTATTACACACTTGAGTGCATTAAATGTGGAACAAATGGAAAAAAAGAGACATATCACATACATATTTTGCTGAGTACCGAATAAAAATGTTGAATCGCTCAGCACGTGGTTTACCACATCCGAAAATCGATGGGTTCAATGCAAGTCAACCAGCCAAATGCCAATTTTCAGTAAATTTTTTACCGTTTCATATGAAATTTACATTTGAATATTTTGATTACATTTGAAGTAATTTTATTGTTTTTTTTTCTTTCTTCCTTTTCTCTCTTCCAACCCCCCCCCCCCCACCAAAATGTTACATTGTCTGTCATCATTTACATTTGGTTCGAAGTAGTTTGTTGGGAAATATGAGCGAACAAAATGCGATTGTCTATGTTAAACGAGATGCTGATGAGGGAACACCTGTGAATCCGCCAATGTTGTGGATGTTAATTGAATATCGAACGCGCAACAAAGTCACAAATTACGAAGTTGTGGCAGCGAAAGATGTGTGCGGTGGCGGTGGCAGCCGGGCAAATTCGGGCTTAGAATCCATGCATACGGGCAAATTGATTTATGTGAAAAAAGACACCGGTCTTGTGCAGGCAACCATTGTTACCATATCAGACGATAAACAATTTCTCAACAACGAACTCAAGGATTTGGTGGAAATGCAAAAAGAAGAGTACGAGATACACAGCAATAAAAAGCGAAAGCGTGTGTCGGTAGCAAAACTAGATAGCGTGGCCACATCGTCGGCGGCAACACAATACACGCGATGGAATAGCGGTGCACATGACACGGGCACAACAACCCAAAATGGTGGCGGTGGTGCGATGAACAAGCAATCGGTTATCAAATCGAATCCGAATGTTCAAAATTACCCACCAATGACATTTGACCAGCAAACGCAAACGGATTTCAAGGCCACGGCCGATTTTAGCAACAATGAAATGCGTTTCAGCAAAATTTTGGCCACCGAAGAGGATATTTTACGTGATGTACACAGTATGACGGAGGAGAATCACGATATCAAGCAACAAGTGGCCGATTTACGCGTTGAAGTGGCCGAAATCAAGACGCTGCTGAAAGATATTTCGGAAAAATTAACACACCAAAATGATGGTGTCCACAGCACGAGCACTGACTTCAATCGCACCAGTTCAATACTAAATTCTACGCAAACGTCGTCAACGTCGGTGCTCGCCCGAACGCCACACGTTATACCGCCGAGAATCTTAAATTTAAGCCATCAATCGAATTATACGCCTCACACACTGAACTATAATTCAATCAGCATCGAACCGGTCATTGAGGCGAGCAACGACAGCAATTTCTCGTACTCGAACCACAGCCGCATGTCATTGAGTGCATCAAATCAATCGATCTATCAAGCGGACACAAATCACAATGAATCGGCGCATTTATCGGCCATGAAGCTTGATTACAGCAGCAACAATAGCAAAAATGCCGATAGTTTTGCCGATGACGAAGGTGATCCAAATGAAGAGGTTGTGATCGGACCAAACCATACAACTGTCACACGCAATGTGCTAACAAACATTAATTGGAATTCACATACAGCCGCCACGCGACGTTTGTTGCGTGCCAAATTCAGCCGAGAAGTATTGGCAACACATTCGCTAACGGGAAAACCGTCACCTGGTATGTTGATCGACACAATATACATAGCCATTAATCAATGTAGTCAAAATGTTTTTTTCACTCATTTTTATCTCTTCCTCACTCTTTCCTCACCCAAATGCAGCGTTCATCGAATCGAGCAAACCGACGAAAAACCAACTCAACCCCAAAATCATTGCCGACATTGTTCAATATGTGGCAAAACGGTGCAAGGTCACGGATACCGCTGTCAGAAGCTCCATCACGACCAAATGTGCCGACGAGAATAAAATGATGCGCCAACGCAACGACAAAAACCGTAAATCGCTCGTGAAAATTGAAAACAAAGAAAACGTAGAGAACTGAATACCAAAACCATTTGCTAATCGTTATCAATTAAAATAGATATTATGTGTATCGAGCGTATCGATATAATTGCACGATTGTATATCCAATAAGAGCAGTAATTTTTTTTTATGGTGCACTACATTTCCGTATAGAGCGCAACATTGAAACGCTTCTCTCTAGACCTATTACTTTTATACACAGTTTTAATACAGTATTAGAAAGGGACATTTGTGATTATGGCTATAATATTTTTTTTTTAAATGAAAATGTATATCCCGGTTGGAGCCTTGGATTTATTACTGTACAATTTGAAGTGAAACCTAGGAAAAGCAAAATGAAACGAAAATAGAAAAATCAAAAAAATGAAATAAAGGCAAAATTGTAGAATTATTGAAATAATCATACGTTATAAAATGGACAAATAGAGAGTATTTTCATTGAGTTGAATGTGGGCGAAGCACTCAATTTGAGCTGAACAAATTTATCGGTTTTACCACACATATTGGTTTACCACGTATGGTTTTAGCCGACGAACAGATTTTTCGACCAAAATGTAATACAAAAACAAAAAATGACGACGAGAAAAAAAAAGTAATAATAGAGAAATGGTTATCTTGAACATACTAAACCACGAAATCGATGTTACGTGAAAATGTGTTCAACTTACTAGAATTAGCACTTAAACTGAAAACAAAGTTCGGTGGTTCTAAATCCTCTCGTAATGCCAAAGTGCCATGGAATGTGGTATTTGACTGGAGAGAGTGAGAAGAGCTGCTGGGAGTGTGTGTTTCAATTCTTCATTGTTCTGAAATTATTTGCAGCGAGAGTAAAATTTGATATGGATACGAATGAGGAAGAGAAAGACACACACACAGAGAGAGAGAAAGAGAGAGAGCGAGGGAGTTGGAAGTGAAAGTAGCGAACATTTGCATTCCGGTCATAATTCTTCGCATCATCGAATCGCTCTAGCATTTTCTTCAGACGTTTTCTCATTCAAGTACTCTATATCCTTGTCGCGTAGATGGAGCAAGCTACACACACACACACACACACAAACTGAATATTCATTACGTGTATTCAGTAGTAAGCGAACAAAAAGATCGTTCTGAGCAGGAAACAAGTCGAAGTAAATTATTGTAAAATGATTTTATAAAATAATGAACCAAACAAAAAAATAAAACACGTAATCAAATTATTTGCTACTTTTTGTTTCTTTTCAATTGTTGATTGGTAAAATACCTTTATGCGAGAAGGATTGAATGAAAAAAAACACACGTCCATGATCTGTATTGCATGTATTTTTAATGTGATAAGCAAACAGTGTGCGCAGAAATGTTTCATTATAATTATTGACCAGCTGGACGGCATTTGTTGCGAAAAAAAATTCAAACACAAACAGTGGCACTCGCGCGTATTTATGGTGAATATATTGCAGACTCAACGGCACAACGGTCGGACGACAACAGCACAAACATTTATACACACACACACACAATTCTGATTTGTGTATGGCAGCAACGATGCGAAAATTCGCATCAAGAAACTCGATTAACTATTACGTTCCCATATTTATTGTTGTTGTTTTTGTTGTGGCTTCACGTTGATGTTGTCGCCGTCTGATGTTGATTGCTACTATTTCTGCCATTGCCACTGCTGCTGTTGCTGTTGCTGTTGCTGCCAGTGTGTACGTGGTGTTTTCATGTGCGCACTGTTGTTTCGAGGCAAGGTTCTCGAGATTCGAAATTATGCAAATCCAAAACCATTAATAATTGAAAACGTACCAGCACAAAATATATTTATAAAGAATGCGACGAAAGCGACCACGAAAACACATCTCTCTCCTTACTCTCTTCTCCGCTCTCTTTCTCTAACTTGAACTCTGCCCACAAATCCCGCACACATTCGATCCGAACATTCAATCCACCACTAACCAAATAATATTAATGTCACATTATTTCTTGGCGGCGTCTGGGTCGGCTGAATGTGGCGCAGCGCTCGCGGACATTGCACATCCAGTAACTCAGTCACTCGTTCGTTTGTTTGTTCGTACAAACAATCTCCAGCTTCGTCATATTCTCATTGTCCCTTTCTCGTTTGCACACAGCCGGCTATCACGCGCGCGGGGCACACACCACATAAATACAGATTGGCAAATGAGAAATTACGAAACACACAAATCGAATTTACCGTCGACAAGCGCGTAACAATATTGTGAAAAAATGAGTGAACAAACATTTTCAAACCATTTTAAATTTATCAATTGGCGCACACAAAAAAAGAAAGGTTTTCCTACTTCGTGCTTCCATTCACTGTGCAAACAACAAGTATATTTATGCCGTTGCGCCATGCCGCAATTGTTGCCAAATTCTTACTGCGGAGGAATGACGAAAGAAAATTTAAAAAAAAAACACTCGACACGAACGAAAAGAAAAAAGCACCTCCACTACGAATTAAAAAGAAAAGAAAAACATTCGACGAGAAAAAAAAGTGGTAGAAGCAGAAATAGCAACAGCAGAACAACAACAGAAATAATAGCAAGTCAGGCAATTGTAATGATGCCACAATGGTCCCGTTACACATTTTGTTCTTTTGCTTCGATTCAACTTCTTTCGGTGAACAGGCGAGAAAAAGAAAATGCGCTCTTACACACGAACCAACAAAAAAAAAAACACTCGACTCTGGCGCACACACACAGTGCTTACATTTCCACATCCACTTATTATTTCAACAGATTTCAAGGCGAGTACGCTAATGTGATATACACTTGGTGAATGTGAAACACGGTGCACGTAACCGTATCGAGGTGATTCCTTTTCCTCACACTGTGTACAAGAAAACATATCTCCAATGATTTGTATTCACTTGATTTGCTTCGATTTGTTAAGTCCTTTTAATGCCACGTTCTTTTTTATCGGTGTGTCATTATGATCATAAGTAATTGTGTACCTGCCGAAAGTTACACACTGTCAATGATCCTGTCAATTTTTTTCCACTCCCTCCACCGGCGATAGCAACGAGAGAGAGAGAGAGAGAGAGAGAGAGAGAGAGAGAGAGAGAGAGAGATGTCTGTAGGGATTGTTGATGGAAGACATTTTAATTGACTTGATTCCACCTTCATGCCACATCAATAATGGGAAGCCAACAGGAAAAAAAAGCAACAACAAAAAATTGGCTCAGCACAAAGAGCATACAAGAAAAATGACGAAACAGAACTTCGTGTTCGGTGAGCGAAAGTTTTTCACCCATGTCTGACTGGCTGGTGTGATTGTGCCAGCCAGCATTGGCGGTGGAATTTATAACTTTCACACTTTCAGCAACAATTAGACATGTTAGTTTACTGAACTAAATAGACGGATCTTTCTGTCTCTTAACTGTATACTCTTATCTCGATAAAAACCAATTCGAATCTCAACCTTCTAGAGAAAACCTGCTCGAAAATTGCCTGCGTCATATAGAAAATGGTATAGAGCATGGCTTTTAAGTTGAAAACTTTTTCTACTCGTTTCACGTGTTTTTTTTTTCTTTCCCCTCTCCCACTCGCTCTTACTCTTTACTATGTCTATCGCGCCCTCTGTTTGTCTGTTTTCCTCTTTTCTGTTGTTTTTCTTCCTTGCCGCACATAAAATCCGCTGCTTCCTTGCCGCACATGAATCCATAAAATATAAATCCATAAAATAGACACTTGATTAAGCATTGCTTTTGAATGCAACCATGAAACTTGGTTAATGTGACAACCAAAACACATTCAAACATTGAAATTCATTCGTTTTGCTTTACTTTCTTCGGAAAAAATTTGTTTTTGTTCTTCGCTTCATTGTCATCATTTCGGTTATTCGCATTGTGCGTACTTTTCAAGCACAATTTTGAATGTGTTTCCCGGTTTCTAGGATGGAGGGGGGGTAGGCAGGAAAAACGGAATAATGCGTCGATGTAGAAAAAAATATTCGAAATCTCATAAACCATAATCTGAAATTAAACAACATTTATAAAGTTTTTTTTTCCAAAGTTTTCCCTGATGGCTGAGCGCTCGTTCCGATACAAAGTACAATTAACAGCAACATTAACAGTGCACAATTTTGTTTGCTAAAGTGACAAAAAAAATCGCAGCGAGCTTCTCGTGCTTCAGATAATTTTGCATTTTGACGAGTTTAGTATATTTAGATGTGTGTTCGTATGATGTGCGAGCGAGCTAGAGAGAGAGAGAGAGAGAGAGAGAGAGAGAGAGAGAGAGAGTGAGAGAGAGAGAGAGAGAGAAAGATAAAGGGAGAAGGTGTGGGTGTGAGCTCGAATAAATGTTTGTGTCATTCAAGTTTCATTCGTTGCGGGAAGAGGAGAGTGACGAAGTGAGACTGAGTGGAAGAAAAGTGGTATTTTGGACATAAAATGTATTATCGTTATCTTCGTTACCGTCGCCAGCGCATTTGAATAAATTCATCTAAAAAGTGGGTGTTAGAAGTAAAGTTGAAATAAACACAATTCTTCTATTTACAAATTTTTCGAACGTTTTCGCATTTCCATTCGTTGTTTTGTCTCTTCTGCTCTTCATTCTGTTCCCTCATCATCATCACCATCATCATCATCATCATCATCATAATCATCCCCGACGTCAAGTGGTCCCGTCATTTCAATGCATTGATACCACTTTGCACACAATGTATACATACTGAGCATACACAGTGAGTGTATCGGTGCGTGAATGTATCTTAAGTATCGAGTTAAATTCATATTGAATATAACCGAATGTTATTGCGTGGAGAAAAACATCGATCTTTTATTGGTCGCTTGCAAGTGCTTGTTATCAGAGAAGAAACTCATATGCTTTCATTTTGTCCCCATTTTGTCGTTCTCTCTTTGTCTTGCTGTGTGTGTGTGTGTGTGTGTGTGTGTGTGTGTGTGTGTGTGTGTCTGTGTGTTCGTAAGTAAATACAGTACTCGAGACATAAAAATCAACGATCACTTACTCGAATATGTGTGAATGAAAACATTTCAAGCATCCCGAAACAAACTGGAAAATGTTTTAGCAAACATCAGCACAAAATGTGTCCACTCTCTTGCGAATTGCCTTCTGTTTACAATCATTTTCACTCGAACTAAATGTCTGCACAACGAATACTTAACGATAAAAATGACAGTAAATGTTGGACAAGATTTTTCGATAAGAATTATTGCAATTTTTAATGACTGTGAAAACGAATTTTAAATAAAGCGTCGAGAATGGAAATGACAACAGCGAAAAAAAGAGTTCGAACGCGACTGACGCTCTTCGGAGACGATTGGCACGAAATCACAAGCACTCGTAAACAGAGATTTATTGGAAAATGTTTGATTTTTTGAAGCATGCATGCATACACATATCAGACGCGTACACAGCTGAAGTATGGTACAATGAAAATCAGATTGGTGGAAGCGAATCTGAACCCGA